CCGTAAGATAGATTTGATAAATTAGAGGATAAGTCTAATGACATTACTCGCTAATGAAAGTGTATTTTTGTAACACGCTTGGCTGGCGTAACCGTTTACCGAAGTGTCTTGTTAACGAGTAGTTCAATAAAAAAAATTTGCCCATTGTTTACTAACCCTCGTGTCATCGCAAACCCGTTTGATAGAATCGTTATGCAGCTTGTCAGTTCATTCTGGCCAGGTATTTTGTCAGAATTGTGAAGGAATGCAACATTTTTGAACAATCACCGGTGAATAACGACTTAGTTTTGAGTGAAGAACAGACTAAAAATTTGCACAAGTCATATGAACTACATTTGTTGCTTTGGAGCTTGATGTATGGCAAAAGTGATGTATGACAAACTGTATGGCAAAAGTTGCATAACGATTCTTCAAAAATGTGGAAAAAACATCAGTATACAGACATGATGGTGTGCAACTTTTGGTTGAACTACTAGATAGTCCATCATCTCAAACATCAAACATACAGTTTTTCCCAGAAAAACTGCTGTAAAATGCAAAAATCAGCTGTCTGTCCATCAACGATTGCTTGGTCTCTGAGTTTGACACTAATACTCTTAGTTGTTGTCTGTTTTGATATCGTAGAGCAGAAAACAACCAGAGGAATCCATCCCCAGCTGCTTGAACGCTACTATGGTTGCATTTGGATTGAGTTTTAATGGCCATAATTGGTTGCAGAGCCAGATATATTTCATAAGTCGACCAAAGATGGACAGCACGCCAGTTTTCATTAGCACAATAAAAAAAGATGATCTAGCAGGGTTTTCCCAACAGTGGAATGTTTTTTTTCTTCTTTTCAGAGAAGCAGTATAGGCCACAGAAATGGTAGTGTTGATTTAACACAAGTTGCAAGTTTGGCGCCTTTGACCCAAAAAAACAACCACAGTGAGACGGTTCGCACAGATATTATGGTGCAACTTTAACACTAAAGATGGCACCTCACGGTCGCCTTTCTCTGTCATGGGGAATATTACTGTTACAATACACTGTGGCATGAGAGATGCTCATGCTCTTGTTTACCTCCTTTAGCGTGATGCAAACTGCATCGGCTTGCCTTTCTCAAAGTCGTCTATGCAGTTCTCATCAGGCGAATAGTGTTTTGAGTTTTACATGGATGAACATTCAACATTGCCAAACTGTTCACACTCCCCTTTGTCTTAATGTGAACTGGTGTCAAGAGAAGTATTAATACGCCTTACCTGTGATTGAAAACGCCTTCGTTGTCCAACCGATGGCATTTGTTGGACGGTCATGTTTTGATGTGTTATGATGTAACTGATTGAAATGTGCAGTTTCATTACTGTATTTGCCTTTGTTTTAACAACATCTTTCCCCTGTTGAACCAGACGAGCCAGAGATATTATGAGTCTTAGGTGGTGACACTGTGTTATTCTAATGAAATAAAGATTTATAATCACTATGTAGGTAGGAATGGACATTAATTCTGTTATTAAGCAAGAAAAGAAAGGAAGATCACAGTTACTGTGATGGAATCTAATGTTAAAATGTAACTATTTGAAAATACAAAGTGGATTTTGCTGTCAAACATTTTGTATTTAAAACTATTTATTTTTCTAGCTCTTTTCTAATAATGTATATTTCCATACAGTGTGGGCATATCATGCGTAAAAATGATTGACATGTACAGGTGGCATCACTATGTAGTTCCTAACGGGTGATTGTACAGGTGTTTATATCGAATAAAAAGATTAGATATGAAGTTCCCATGCCGTGAACGTTGGCTTGTTTTATGACTTCTTACAAACATACAGTTCTTATCAAGCCCTCGATTGATGCTTCCACCCCGAGAATCTGCAGGAGGCTCTGAAAGTAATTCGAGCCGTTTTCCATCACTTTTTTGGTGTCAAACTCCCGAGCTGAAAGCAAAATAAAACATTTTAGATCATTGTACCAAAAGTCACAATTATGAATTGTACAAGTGTAAAATAAGGAAATACTTGATTCTGATTAGTCAATTGCATCACTTTTGTATTGCAACCACAAAATTGTATATTTCACATACAACAGAACGAAAGTTTTCTCATTACAGCTTAATTTTCTCGTGATCTCGACATGACATAAAGGTTTTCTTGTGAACAACTTAATTTTCCTCATGATCTCAACATAACAAAAGTTGTTTTCTCATTATCATGACTTAATTTTCTTGTGATCTTGACAAAGTTATACCCCATCAGTTATATTTAGTTCTATACTACAAAAATGGCTAGTTTTAGAATCTAGTAAAAATGGCAGTGAAAGACTTTTTAATCTATTTAATAAGCAGGATAAGCCGATCAACCCTGATGCAACATTATCCCTTACATAATCTATATTTCACTCATCACGCAGTTAATCTTACCCTGGTCTGGCATTTTCAGCAGGAGCTCAAGCGATGGCTTTACCACTCCTTCCATGGACACATCGATCTTCCAGAATATGGTCATGGAGATCCTGAGAAACATACAAGCCATTAGGCGCGTTTCCATTACCCTTCAAATTGCGCAAATTGAAAT